ATAACGCCTTTTAGAAAAGTTTTATTTTTTTTCGTTTTTTTTATAATTATTATTATTATTGTTTTGTACCATGAAAATTAAGTGAGAGATGAAATTGAAAAAAAGCAGTCAAAGAAAGTGATAGTATCATTGATAATAGACCCCTTCTAAGATCTCCCGGACTAGCATTAAAGCGCCTTCTAGAAAAACACTTTTTTTCCGAAAGGGAACATGCTACCTATGATTTATGTAAACAAAATAAATTATTTGAATTAATATTGCTACTAAATATAAAATGAAAATTACGTTGGAATTGAATGGTTGAAAAGTGCAAAAACCGTGTTTCTAACAGAGCATGAAGACAAGGCTTTAAGGCGAAGAGTTGCTGTTAGAAGATTATTATAAACATTGACCATTCGAARATATTTTCCGTCTTTCCATTCTCAGAGTTGGTGAGAGTGTACGAGAAAGATTTTGAATCGCAAGTTTAACTCAATAATTGATTATTTGATTTACTTCATCGAACGCAAATAAACGTACACAATRAAAAAATTCTAACCTAATTTCTTACATAAGCTCGACGTTACTTCGTAATTTCAATTAATAAATGCCTATACATAACTCGGAAAGCACAACTCAAAATCATGGCGTAGAAGAAGTGGAGAGAACTCGCTGTACAATCTTTACAATTCAAAATCATCTTTTTCTTCACAGAAGCTAGGTGCTTTTAGCATCACATTAGTTTCCTTTAAAAAAAAAACTGATTTTCTAAAAGGTGTCATATGAAATATGTTCCTTGATGAATAGTGATTTAATCTAAAATTATTTTTTTAATYACATATTATGTTATTACCATTATAAATAATCTTGGTTATAAAAAGGATATATGGAAATTCGTTTTTTTTATGATACAGATGTAAAGTTGTAATAAAAGTATTATGGCAGTATCATTATTGTGTATTATATTATTGCAGATGCTGAAAGGATTTAGGATCTAGCAAGCATAATTTCTTCCTAGGTAGACTGCCATTTTGTCTAACCGCTCTTCAGTAGAGAATATTGTGAGGGCGTACATTCTTATACAAGGGAGGACTCGTGTCAGGCCATTCCTCAGGGTCTTTGTTAATCCTAAATCTAGCGTCTTCGCTATTCCTACACTCACATTACCTATGTAAAGTTAAAAGAAATCTTCCTTGAAAAGATAAAGAGAGCTTAATTGACCTATTCATGAAAATATGGAGAACGATGAGGCATAAATTTCTCTGCAAAATTATCAATTTAAAAATTTATATCTCTGTGGGTATTTGTTGAAGCTTATTTGCATTTTGCACAGCTTTTATGTGAATCATATTCTTAGGTATTTAAGTTTTTTTTAGGTTGAACAAATATGTTACTGAGCGGCAGCCATTTTCGCTACTCTGTTTTTAAAAATATTCAAAAAAAATTATTGGGTTCACCTTTCAGGAAGATGGACACTCAAATAGAGCCAATATTTATTCAATTAGATATATAAGCGAAAATGTCCTGCAGAAATAGCGCATTTCTATTTGAATGCAGTACTGTGCTTTTCGCACACTAGTTCAGAGTTTGCATTATCTAGTGTCACGGTATCTTAGCATAGCGGTAACGCAACGCGCATTGACGTACATATTTTAATATTAGACTGATATCAGAGAATGTAACGCAACAACAAGTGTCGCAACGTACAAAGCAATCAATTATGGGTACTACGTAACAGTAACAAAGGCCCGTAACGCAACGACGGTTATTATGACATCCGTGACGTATACAAGAACAATTAACTGTCCTACGTAACGTTACTGAACGCTGTGACATGCGAATGTGGGTTGAAGTGCGATCGTTACGTCTTGTCCAAGCTGTTTTGACATTGAATAACCTTCAGGAATTATTGATTCTATTTTGTATTAAAAGAGTGGGACATTTGGAACTTTGCATTTGCGTTAATAAACCAGCTTTTTGATTTAATTTCTATGCATCTTTTGTATATTTCATTAAATTATTATTACATTCACGCACCCTGTCCTATAATATTAGCKRGCGATATCYTTAATGGTTGGCTCAGGATAAGCTCTGTCAAAAAAAAACGATTCCTCCAACACCACCCTGGCGAACTAGGACAACTAGGGGCTGTCATGGTTTACTGGTTGCCTTCAAAGTCTGATTAAATGTACTTATGAATCTATTATATTTCTATGCATGGTATATATTTTAATCCACTGAACGTTTTGAAATTAAACTGTATTTCTGTTTCTATATATATATTAGAAAAAAAGTTATATAGCTACGGTATTTATATTATTCTACTTATATATTTTTTATATTTGTCTTGTTATTCCGTTTACCGAGTTTTCGACCTTTTGACAGTTCTGCTGCCAGTATGTGCAATTCATCCTCGTCAATATTTCGAGTGGGAAACTAAAAAGAATGTTTTCCACACATTATATAAGGTAATAAGAATGAAAATCTAGATTTAAAGAGATTTTAACTCGAAAATTTACAGACATTTCAAAGAGACGAATTGAGGTGTCCATAATCTGGGATGCAAATCCCTTCAAATTCTTCTTTTTTTAATAAAAAAAGAAAGAAAATTAAAGTTAATAAATCCCATTCTCCACAAGTTTATTTGCACTCTAACAGTAGTTTGAAAGAGAAATCCCTTGCAAGGTTTTAAAAACAGAATTCCATGCTAATATTATATTAATAAATTTGTCAGCGTTAATTGTAAAAACACAGGGCAGCCAGAGCCAAGGTTGTCCAAGGGCATTAGCTAACAACTTTTGTGACKCTTTGAGTATTGTGACAGAAAAATATGACGTCAATTTTGAAGCAAAAGGAAAACGAGCGTTAAACGTTATTGTCATGGCTCTGTGCGCAAGGATGAATGTCTGTGCGTGACTGTTGTTTTGAGTGGTTGGTCTGCATCCATCACTTGAATGCGCAATCTATTCCTTGTTCTTTTTTATATCCTTAATCACTGGAAAAGTTGTTTGGTGTGCAGAGTTAATAAGTAATGTTTAGGACATTTATGTTGCTAGGTAGCTTCATTATAATAGTCGGTGCTATGTTTCTCTAGCAAAACTTTATTAATGTTTAAATATACTGTAGATTATTTAATTTACACACGTCAACATTTCCTCTTACAAACTTTTTCTGTATTAAACTTTGTAAACATCATGTAAACGTATCATRTAACTTTAGAAAAGGACATTTTGTCCGTAAATTAAATAATTTATAGTACATTTACAGACTCTGTAAAATATACAACTTTTCCAGAGAATGGGTTATCCGTCTTTTAAATATTTTTTTCTATTTTTCTGTCACTTTTGTTTTGTTTGTTGCTATATGTTTTTCCTTTTTCTTTTTTTAAATATATAATATATATTTTTTTTTTTGGCTTAGTTGTTTGCCTGCGTGTCTGCTTTAAGCCTGCGTGCCTTATAATGCATTTTTCCGACTGTATAAATTCAACGTAAAACCGTCCGTCCGTCTGCCCATCGACACGTGGAAACATACGTACTCTGCATGTCTACGTAACTTGGTTTCAAATCTCACGTTCCCACGACCAAAACAACACATGATGAAGCGATGATAAGAAACAAAAGATTTCGTAGCGAACACGTAGCGCTTGTTGTTTAAAAGAACCAAAGGAATATCTCCGCAAAGTTCAGGCAAATACAAAGGAGAACTTAAAGTATATATAGAAACCCTAGTGACTGAGATATATAAATAGACGAMGGGCCAATATCGTCCACGAGCTCAAGTTGCCATGTGCAACATTGCACGCTTCAAGAAACCTATAAGCATTATTAAATGAGACAATAGACTTCGGACTCAACGTTTCTTGTCGTTATGGTGCATAAAACAAACACAACTATAGTTGAAGGCATTGCAACTGCGGCCAATACAGAAAAAATGGATAAACTTAGGGCTGCAGAAAATGTCTTTGAGATGAACGCTGCTTTAGCGTGTTTTTCAGAATGAGTCTCACTCAGATTCATTTCGTGTTTTATTAATTCTGTGTCATAATTTTTATTTCTAAGTGTAAACAGCTATTCACCCAACCTTTTAGAATATTTGTCTATTATGCAAGTTTCCTGCAGGGACCTCTAGGCCTTTTTTAAAGCCATTTTTTTTTTCCTTTTGTTTTTTTTTTATGTTGTCTTAGCTGTAAACAAGGTCCTTTGCTGTTGACGCTATTCTCTCTGTGTGAAAAAGAGTTTTACCTCATAAACGTCCACCACGAAATCACAAGTTTTTTAGATAAAAAGAAATATCAAAAAACCTTGCCCCTTTTTTACTAAGTGTTATTTTATATGTGATTTAGTTATCCGTTCCATCATCCGTTTAATCAACTGGACAAGGACTTTGTGGCACTTGATTAATTCACCTGGACCCCTGAAGGGTTCTGGCTGGAGTCCCAGTAGCTTTGACTGCTTACACTGAACCATTTCAACACACATCTTAACATTAAAATTTAWTGTTTCTTGAGTGTTTTTGTATGGAAGGTTTGAGCAATTTTTGTTTACGATCGATTCAAGTCAGGAGGACATATATAGAAAGCTAACCGGGAGAACGGAGAAAGTGTTGAATTTGAGAAAAGTGATCATCATTTTATTTGCTTTACGCTGTAAAACTTTGAAACTTATACAATTAAAAGATTGACTTAGTAAAGTTCTCAGCAGTTCAAGCTCTCTGCATTTCTTTACTGTTTGTGCGTTTGCAATTCGAGTGATTTTATGTAGTGCAAAGTGTCTGTGTACCTTTTTAAAATGCTGGATCTCGCAAGCGCAAAAGACATTTCTTATGTGTAATTATATAAGATTATAGAAAGCAACAACCGTGAAAAATAGGCAAATCATACTAAATCTGTWGGTTAAATAATTACAACTCCTCGGGCAAAATACATCATGAATGTGGCTTTGTCGTGAAACAAAATGGCCAAAGTCCACATGAATCTATAATAAAAGACGRCATGAAAACGTGCTTTCAAATCGGCTCATAAAGTCTAYTGACGTTAGGGAAGTCATATTGATTGGTGTTTGTATAAATCTTCCATGGACGAGCGGCTGTGTCACGACAAACCAGTCATTAATATTCAACACTAATGTTTGTGACATTCGACAACGCAAAAACTAACAACACWTTAAAACAMTTTCCAAATTGCCATAGAAACTGTAGAGTATTTATATTTAGGCTTGGTTGTTGTGCAGCTTTTATTATTGTTTCTATTGTTAGAATTCATGTGTTTGGGTTTTAGACCCACGAAGTTATTATGAATCGTTTGACGTCATACTTCATGCCTGAAGTCCCTCCTCTTTGAATATGAGTACAAAAACAGCTTTCTTTCGCGAAGATATTCAAGCGTGAATTAACCTTTTGCGGYCGAGATTATTAAAGATAGAAGTTACCTAACGGTAAAAATAACATGGGGGAATTTAGCAACACGTGTAATAAGCCTCTCCTTCTTAATTTAAAAACGAAACTTCTTGAAAGAAAGTCGAACTTCAAAACGTTGAATGTTCTTTTATTGCTGGCAATTGAAAATCATTTTAGAAATGGAATTATTTCTTAAAAAAACAATGTGTGACACTTACACTGTTTATTTTACCAAAGTAAGTTTCTCACGTTTTGTTATGTTTTAATTGCTCAAATTTTCAGKTTTTATTTAATTTTACAAAGATTAAATTATGGCATAAAAGCTAAACTCTTATAAGGAGAATTACTAATGGCGTATCGAATCATTATTTACTAAAGCGCCGTTTTTCTTAAGTGTTTACTTTCAGGTTCAGAAAACGTTTCCTTTAGCGCATTTATGTTGAATGACTAATTGATATGTATAGTTTGGTTTTCCTACGTCCTTCTTGTGGCGGAATTAAGTCATTGTGGGACAATCATTGAAAAACTATCATTGTTTACAATTTCCGTGGCGTTGTCAAAACTAGCAGGTGAAGTTAACTTTAAACTCACGATTTTCGAGAGTTCAATTTGAATTTATAATAATTTACTACATTTCTATAAGTCTTTCTCTGCTATTTTTAATACGAATAATGAATAAGCTAAGCTAAGCCTACTTAAGACTTGTTGTACAGYCATATCGTTAAAACCAAAATGCTCTTGTGTTCAAAAACACAATGGGACCTCAGTTTATTAAAACGTAAAACCCTTCCAAATRCATAAAAAGTTAGAGTTTAATTCACCATTTAGGGTACTAATTGAATTTTAAATGTTTACGAGGGTTGCTGAAGGTCGCAAAGTTTCAATACGACGTCACATGGAGAGACCTGTTCATTGKACCGAGTAGACGTTGATGTCATTAACAAAATTGTGACGTCATGTCTACTGAGAGCGTGGGCGAAGAACAACAGTTCAAATTAGACTGCAGTACCAAACATTACAGCAGAAAGCGGACACTTTGAGCAAGGAAATCTAACATGTACGAGATCCCGCCATCTGTGGATCGCTATTTGAAGATAAGCTCAAAATCCATGATTCATTTTCCTACCGTCTCCTTGGAGAGCTCGCTGTCCCCCTCGTTGATAAGTGGAGATGAAACAGCCAGAGATTCTCCTAAGAAATTGTTTGACCATTTTGAAAGTTTAGCGATAGCAAACGGGAAATATTTAACCAAAGAGGAAACGGCGAGGAAGAGAGGTTGTGATGAATGCGACAAGGAAATACAAATGCCAAGTAAGAAGATTTGGAAAGGTGATCACGAAGAAGAGGATTTCATTGACTGTACTAATATTGAACCACATCACACTTCTCGAGTCCAACAATGTGGTCAGCYAACAGAACCAACAGTTGAAAAAGACCCAAATAAACTGAATAAGCCTTCAATAACGAATGGACAMACTGRCCATACTTCTCGAGTCTTCACTCGCAGGCTACCTGAGATCAAGCCAAAAATTGCARGCGAAGTATACAAGTWCGATGAAACAGCCTGGCAGTGCAATAACGGCAGAACAACAACTCGCAAAAATCCCTGGGGACCTCAGTCTTATTCTGAGCTGATTTCAGGTGCTATAAGATCAAGYCCTGGGCATAGAGCATCGTTGCAACAGATATATGACTGGATTGTTGGAAACATCCCTTGGTTTCACGACAAGGCTGATTATCCTTCAACAAAGGGATGGAAGGTACACTATGTGATTTTATTTCATAACTGAATTTAAAAAGTAATATTTTTGATTAAAGATGCGACTGTTTATATGCAGAAATGGAGGGAGAAGGAATATCTATTTTTTAGACAGAATCTTTTGAAGTTGTAAGAGGGAATTTGGAAATGTTGTTGCATTATTCAATTGAAARTGATAAAATTTAATTCCCTATTTATCAAATTTGTTTTTCTATTTGTTTTAATTTTTTTATCATTGACAAATTTTGCGATTATGACTAATGAAGTGCATGCTCTTTTCTAAAATAAAATTTTGGGATTATGTAATGGTGTATTTATGCTTTGAATGGCATGAGTTTGATGATTACTTCAATATGAAGTCACTATTGGTCAAGCATGGAGATAATAATTTTGCTTCGAAATGACATGTGCCGTACGAGGAATWAGTCCTTGAGCGTTTATCCGTATTGTAAGTCAAATATCAGATATGGCAAATTTTACTTTTTTAYTTTTAGTACAATTTTTATTTKWAATACAATTTTTAGTAGCAATTGCATTGCTTGTTTTGTGGTGTCTATGKGAATATCACACTTTCATAGTCAAGTTTTGTTTCACGGATTTAATAATTCACTCTAAACCCGTGAAACAAAATTGGACTATTAAAGTGTATGATAGTCAAATAGACACAAAAAGAAAACAATTCAATTGGAGTGTACTAAAGTGCATATGTATTTCATGGGGTTTTTGACTTAACTCCATCAGTGACTAAAATTAAATTCTCAAAATGACTCGAAATTACAAAGCTGGAATGAGGAAATACATATATAGAGATTACTTAATGGAAAATGCGCGCGTACTACGGTTTTTATGCACGAGTTGAGAGTTACACATTAACGAGTGCATAAAAACCGTTTTCCATGTAATGTRTTTATGCATTTTCCATTCTGTAATGTATTTATCTCATAGTTACTGAGATTTCAGAAAGCAAAATTATAAAAAAATAAAATAACGATAATATAATTGTTGTTTACAGTCCGGGCGAAAATCAGTATTAGCGAGTGATAGCTTTATTGACTAAAATCGTATAATCAGCAACTTTGACACTGTAAGAAAAAATAGTTTTAATAAATAAACTGGATTTAATTTTGAATTATAATATAAGCTTAATTATTAATTAAAGTTTGAAAGTTTGGCAATTGAAAATAATTTTGGTCAAAACACAGCATGCATGATTACATAATATATGAGATGATTAGAAAACTTAAAACAAGAAATGCATACTAAAACTACCTAAAACATCATGAAAAATACTCCTCATCAAAGTCACTTTGAATTCTTATTCTTTTCCACTGTATTGGAGGGTTTTCGTAGAGCCGTGGAGACTGATTTATGCAGCGTTTATTGTAAATGAGAATTGTCCACCACAAATTACCTCGTTTGAAAACAATGCCATTGAAGATCGTTGCTCATTTCAGGTCTGTTTTCCTTCCCAAGTTTCTTTAAATGTTTTTGTTTTGAGGTCAGTGTTTTCAAGTGTTTTTTCAAACACAGGATCATTGATAATGCTGTTTGGATAGGACTTTGATTTAAGGTGTCTTTCGAAACTTCAYAACATTCCTCTAAGCGACTCTCGTTTCTGATTGGCCGAACTTTGATTTTTCACTATTGAAAAACATCGTTCGTCGTTTTGATTGGCTAAATTCAGCTTACGAAAGAGAATTTACTAAATAAGATTTCCGTGTGTAAATCTCAGTAATTATGAGATAAATAAATTYATCATATAATTATCTATGAAATAAMTGTGTTTCTCCATTTCGTAACTCTTCACTAGTGAAAATAACATCTTATTTTCACAAGTGAATTAAAATAACACATTCGAGGTATCTCTATATAATGCAAGTAAGAAAAAAGGTATTTTGCGATATAATTTCGCTGCGCTCACTYGTGAGAGATCTTTTCTAWACTAGAAGATAAAATCCGTATCTCCGCGCGCCCATGTAATATCCTCAATATATCAAAATCTCATTTATATGATTTATGTCGATTTTAAAAATGATTTTTTTTTTGTTCTTTTTATGTACAGAACGCAATCAGGCACACCCTGTCCATCAGAAAACGCTTCACTCGTATCGTGAATGACAGAAGCCCACACGCATCATTGTGGACCTTTTCCAGGCATGGTTACAGAAGCATGACAAAATACTGATGATACCATTGATGACACTCTTCACGTTTAGATATAGGCAGGTACCTTAAGGATGAGGTTGTGGAAAAGGTCGTATATTTACATGGATAGTACATCATATTTAAACTTCACAAAAGACGAGACAAAATCACAAGTGTGAACGCACTTAGAG